TTCGGAGACTGCAACGAGTCCAGAATGCAGCGGCTAGACTTCTAAATGGGGTTAGAAAATACTAACATATCTCCCCCACTCTGGCCACCTTACACTGGCTACCTTTTCACTTCTGTACCAGTTTCAAGATAATGGTACTAACCTATAAAGCCCTAAATGGTTTAAGGGAAATGCAACTATTCTTTCTGGGAGCTCATGCCCATAGCTTGAGTGCAGAAAGGAACTAGCATCGCAGAGACAGAAAATTGCATGGGGTAAAACTACTGTTCTGGTTGCTGTCATGATCACAAGGCACTGGATACTTGAAGCAGAAAATCATCTACACTGAACAATTTGACACATCACCCTGATCAATTATTGAGATTTATCTGTTGTAAAGAAGGTGAGGTTTTAAAGGGAGTCCAAAAGAGGTGTGATATGTCAAATGGACTTTGTTTGGCGAAGCTGAGACTTCTTGAAATTTATGTGAAAACCTAGAGTTCAAAGGAGAGATATAGTAACAAGAAGATGTGATAACAGTCTGGCACAGCACCTCAAGAAAAGTAGCTAATTATTACCATAAGGCAGGGGTGGGCAATTAATTTCTATAGGGGGGCCACATGAAAAATCTGAACTGTGTTTGGAAGCCGAACCAACTTTACTTAAACATAAAATGAAACAGTGATGTTATGATTGCTGCTCTGATTGGAAGCCTGGCAGTCCTTGCAGTAATCCACAAGTGAGCATTGTGTGGCCTTTCAGCTTTTGGGGATGGGCGGAACTACATCTCCACCATCCCTCACCACTGGCTACACTGCCTATGAGTGATAGGAGTTGCAACCCAATAACATCTGCAGAGCTACACATTGCCCCTCCCTCTCCAGAAAAAGTTGAACCAGCTCCAGCCTTCAGGGGCACCCATCAGTACCCAATAAACAGGAAGCTAAGTGGACCTAGGCCTAGCTTAGGCCACAAAGCCTTCCAGCTTAGGCCTTTAGCCAGGGTGAGCCACATTGAAGTACAGTGGTGCCCCGCTTGACGACGATAATCCATTCCAGGAAAATAGCTGTTAAGTGAAATCGTCGTCAAGCGGAAAAAAAACCATTGGAATGCATTGAAAACTGGTTAATGCGTTCCAATGGGGAAATACCCCATAGAGAACCGTCGATCAGCTGTTTAAAATCGCTGTTTTCCGAAGCTTCTGTCCGGAAAACAGCCATTTTGTGAAGGGAGGGAAGTCATTTTGCGAAGGGAAGCCATTTTGCAGAGCTGGAAAAAAAAACCATTTTGCGAACAAACGGTTAGCGAAGCAGGGACCTAATCAACGTAAAGTGAAAAAAACCCATAGGAACTATTGTTTTGCGATCAGAAAAAACTCATAGTCAAGCGGGGCACCACTGTATTTATATATCATGTGGGAATCCCAGAATGAAGAATCATGGGATTTGTAGTTCTTAAAAAAACCCAGTGTCTAATCCCTACTTCCCATTTTACTCTGCAGAATGCTTGACATTGACATCTCACAGGAAACCAGAATTACTGATCACTCCTGCTTGGCTCCTACTGTTCGTGAGAGGTTAAGCAAGTCAAAGGGTACTCTTCGCTGTCTAGATTTTGGTCAGCTGCTTCTATCATTACCATTAGCCAGATCCACTAAGGCCTTTGGGAGCTGGAGTTCAACAACATTTGCAGGGCAACAGGTTCCCCAAATAAACCAGAAAGCCTACATCTGTGATTTGACTAGCATTAGGTCTAAAGTAGAAGCTTGCCTTGTTCTCTTATAACAGGGGAGGGCAATTAATTTCTACAGGGGGGGCCACATGAAAAATCTGAACTGTGTTCGGGGGCCAAACCAACTTTACTTAAAAATAAAATTAAACAGTGATGTTATGATTGTTTTTATTTTAAACTTGTTAATCTTCACAAATATTAAATAGGTTTTTTGCAGTATGTTACAGATAAGCAACTGATCAACTTTAGACAAAAAGCTATAAATGGTTTTGATGTTCAAAACTGTCCGCGGGCTGGACAGGAGCGGCCCGCGGGCTGTATGTGGCCCTCGGGCTGCACTTTGCCCAGTTCTGCCATAAGGGAAGAACAAGATGCCATTCTTGTATAAATGAGCCACTATAAAAGCCATACATTTGGCAAAGGCTTGCAAGGCCATGATCAGGCCAAAGGGAAATACCTTGTACTGGGACATCTTAGCAGTCAAGGCAAACTGAATTAAATGGCAGTGATGCATCCTTATAGGGATGTGAAAGTTTGCATGCTTGAGATGAGTTACAAAGAAACAGCAGAGGAGAAATAGGCAAGCAACAGTCACCATCCTAAATTTCTTCAGTTTGAGGTACAGTGGTGCCTTGCAAGATGAGCGCTTCATTTAATGAAGAAATCGCATAATGAAGAAGTTTTTGCGATCGCAAAAGCAATCGCAAAACAATGATTCCTATGGGGTTTTTTCGCTTTGCGATGATCGGTTACCTGCTTCGCTAACCGATTATCGCAAAACGAAGATTTTCGCACAGCTGATCGGCGGTTTCAAAATGGCCGCTGGGTAAAAAAATGGCTGCCCGCTGTTTTCTGGGACGGATTCCTCGCTGCACGGGCAGCGAAAATGGCTGCGCTATGGAGGATCTTCGCTGGACGGGGAGTTTCAAGCCCATAGGAACACATTAATCGGGTTTTAATGCGTTTCTATGGGCTTTTAAAAATCGCTTTACATTGTTTTCGTTCTACAGCGATTTCGCTGGAATGAATTAGCATCGTAATGTGAGGCACCACTGTATTTGCCTCTGCTGCTGCCCTTCTTCTTGTACGTGAACCAAAGAAGATTGGCTGGAAGAACTTTACCCAGAGCCAATAAATGAGCCAGAAGGACGAAACAGAGAAGTATGAAACAAATGAGGAGGTGAAAGCTATGGGGCATGTATAGGGAAGCACTTAAGTCAATACCGTATGCCTTTATCAGGGTAGTTAAAAACCATTGATTTTTAAAATATCAAATGGATTTAAATCATGGTTTAAATTAAAGACAGGGACGTGGTGGCGCTGCGGGCTAAACCGCAGAAGCCTGTGCTGCAGGGTCAGAAGACCAAGCAGTCGTAAGATTGAATCCACACGACGGAGTGAGCTCCCGTCGCTTGTCCCAGCTCCCGCCAACCTAGCGGTTCAAAAGCATGCAAATGCAAGTAGATAAATAGGGACCACCTCGGTGGGAAGGTAACAGCGTTCCGTGTCTAAGTCGCACTGGCCATGTGACCACGGAAGATTGTCTTTGGACAAACGCTGGCTCTATGGCTTGGAAACGGGGATGAGCACCGCCCCCTAGAGTCGAACACGACTGGACAAAAATTGTCAAGGGGAACCTTTACCTTTACCTTAAATTAAAGAATCTTTTTAAAATTTAAATTGTCAAAAAACCTAACTTTTAAAATTTCAATCAAATCCACCCTGGCCACCACCAAGACAGAGATGCATACAGAGACAGGGCATTTCTCCCCTCTTGAACAGTAGTACACATTAGGCTGCCACTGCATTTCAGTGTGCTACCTCTAGCTGAAAGAAGCCAAACTTTTCCTTTTTCCAATCTCTCAAACCCTCCTTTCCATAATCTCTTTTTTGCCATTTATTCCTTACAAATATCTGAAACCACAACTGAGTTATTCAAGGACCCTTCAACTTTGGCTTCTTTATTTATTTATTTATTTAATATGCTGCCCACTCTACCCAGAGGTCTCTGGGCAGCTTACAACAATTAAAATTCAATACAATAAGAGATAAAATGATTAAAATACAATTAAAATAGAATTAAAATTGCCATCAGGACCCACAGTTGATGTTATTTCAGTTAAAAGCCTTCTGGAACAGGAAGGTTTTGACCTGGCGCCGAAATGTCATCAACGTCGGCGCCAGATGAATTTTAGCCGGGAGGGCATTCCATAGTCCAGGGGCAGCAGCCGAGAAAGCCCTTTGTCTACAAGCCATCCCTCTTACCTCCTTGAGGGATGGCCCTTTCAAAAGGGCCCCTTGGCTAGATCTTAACTGCCGAGTAGGCTCATATGGAAGGAGGCGGTCCTTCAAGTTAAAAAAATTATCCCGAGAAACAGAACTGGTGAGAGCATGAATTACTGAGACAAATTTGCTAGTGTCAAGCAGTTTAAAAATCTCTTACATGTGTCCATCTCAAAATGGGCAAAAGTTTGTAGACCTGTCTGGCGAAGACACTTAATTAACACCTAGAGAAAAAAATAAGCATTATGCCAAGCAATTTTTTTCTTCTCTAGCAAACACATCATTTCATTAGAGATAAAGAATTAGCATGGCACACTTTCCCTTCCTTCTTCCCTCTGAAGCATCATCATAAAAGATGTCAACAGGAAGCAAGCAGAAAATTGTGACTGATAATTAACTGATGCTGTAAAAAGAATTGCACAGATGTGTTTTTTAAACCAAAAATGCACTTTAAAATGTACTGATTTTCTGCTCTATGACATATTAACTTACGATGCAGTTTTAAAATTCTTCAAGCAGAGATAATTTAACACAGGAGTCTGGGGGCATTTATGCCCTCCTGTGGACTTTGGCAACTCACTACCCCATCTCCCCATAGATTCTGCTCTCAAGTCACAATTGCAAATCAAGTAGGATTTTCTTCTGCACTAGAGCTGCAGAGATATGGAACATATTGGAAAGATAAACACGCTATGTACAGAGATACATCTATGTGCTATAAAAGAGGAAAAAACATAACCATAAATTTTGGCAAATTATAGCCATTTATCTTTTTGTGGCAAATTGTGTTTTGTGTAATGTACATTTTATCTCTGTAGTGTGAATATTCTTGCTTTAGGATGTTAATTTTTTTTTTAAAAAAGTAAAGCTCAGTTTGACAAAAGTGCCTGGTTTTAATTATTCTGCTTCTCACTGATAGAAGCTCTTTAGCAAATCCAATATTTCTTTGGTATATTTCAATATTATAAAAATGGCCTATAAGGAATAAAAACGGTTCAAAAACTTACTTCACATAAATCTGTAGTCTGGTCTGTTATGGGGCAATCAGTGTTAGCTATATATTTTCGACATTTCCAGCAGCAAAGCATGTCAACTTGTCCTTGGTTATTCATCTTGACTTTGATTCCTTGAACAGTGTATCTGTGAAAAACAAATAAAAACAGCATACTTTGTTTTCCCCGCTAATTCTATGTTTATCAACAATTCTCTTACCAAGAAAGGAACTTTCATCTGCTTTTTAATTCCCCTCAAATATAGATTATGTTCTCTTTAATTGGCTAAATACAACAGTCCCATCCAGAGCAGACTCACTGAAATCAGTAGCACTTAGGTTAATTGTTAGTAACACATTGATTAATTTCAATTGGCCTACTGCTAGGAGTAACATAGAATTCAGTCAACAATAAACATATTTCAAATGAGTTCTAAGAGTAGGATAAAACTGTGTTAAGTGAAGTATGCTAAATAATGTATAACATGCACAGAGAAATATGTATTCTGAAGAGAAAATGTTGGCCTGTCAATATTAATCATACCATCATAAATTTGAAACATTTAACAGCAGATATTTCATTGTTCATACCATTTGTACTGAGATTATCTGGATCCAGAAATTTTAACTGTCAGTCATTCCTGCTATTAAATGACCATAAAATCATGAAACAGCTATACAATTACTGTTTATGAGGGAACCAGCACAGTCAAAAGAGGTAGCTGAAATGATAAGAGATTAAAATAGCTCTATGTATCCAAGTCATGATTCTTGGATGCAGGGCAGATTACGGGTGGTGGTAATAATCATCATAATTAATGTGAAACAACCAGTATTCTGTTATAGTTAAGAGTACTGGATCTGGAACAGCAGGACCCAAGTTAAATCCTGGCTTAGTCACAAAGCTTAGTCAGTTAGTGAGTTAGTCAGTATCTCTCACCCAACTCTACTTTACACAGCTGTTTTCTGGGGAAACATATAGAACTGTCATGTACATTGTTTGGGAAATGTACATGACAGTTATATAATGCTATATAAAATAGCATTTTGCCACAGAGATTTATAAAACAGCTATCAGAATTTGCCATAGAATTTTCCCTCTTATTTGCATTTCCTGAAATTATCCCATAGATTTATGAATTATCTATATAAACCGTCAGCCCTTCCCTTACAAAATAATTTTTGGCACTACAATTTCAAACTATGCCATTGCAGTATCTGGAAGGATGGTATACCCAGACACTGAGATCACAGCGTTTTTGTATATGCAAAGCACAAGCAGTAGAGGACATACAACATAATTTACTGCGCTACTCCTTATATAGTGAATCCAGGCCACAGTTGATAAAAATTTTGCTACAGGATATATTGGATAAAAGCCACCAAAATAAAATAATCTGTTGTCTGATTTTAACAAGGTAGTAACAGAGTTGTGAGATCTGCAGTGGCTCCCCAGAAGTTAAGGAAAGAGTATATGAATTAACACAGTTAATTGAAATGACTTATTTTTTATTGAAATAGAAGAAAGCTACAGCGCATATGGAGGCGGAACCTGACGGAAAATAATCAAATAGCTGTTAGGATTGCAACTAACCTTTATCAATCTAAGGTGAAGGCTGCTAGTTGATCTTACTTCAGTATCTGGATAAGTGAAGCTTCCAATCAGCAGGCGGAACTCTTTTGTATAGCCCTCAATCTATCAGGAGTTGGTCATAATGATTGGCCTCCCACTAGTCAAATGACCAATTTGCAGCCTTTTAAAAATCAAAAATGGAGGCCATCCGCTGGGACCTTACCCCCTATTTGAAAACAGTGGATAAAGTAGAGATGTCCAGCGCTCCATCTTGCCCGATGAGACTTAACCACTTTCAGCCTGTGCCATCAGATATGATGGACAGAGTGCTTGATCGCTGTCACGCCACCACCTCCTTCCTTGACTTTTGCCCGGCCTGGCTAATCAAAGCAGCCAGGCCTATAACATTCAAATGGGCTACAGCGATAATTATTGGGTCTCTCCAAGAAGAGAGATCCAGGAGGAAACACTCATTAGGCCCATTAGTAAGAAACTGAGATTAGTGGCAGATGATATTGCTAATTATAGGCCCATTGCCAATGTTTCTTTCCTCAGCAAGGTAGCTGAGAGGGTGGTGGCCGACCAGTTGCAGGCTCTTCTGGATGAAACCAATGGATCCATTCTAGTTGGGCTTCAGGCTGCGCCACGGCATAGAAACAGCATTGGTTGCCCTGCTTGATGATCTATTGAAGGAGGCTGACAGGGGCAAAATGTCTCTGTTGGTCCTCCTCAACGGTATCCTCCTGGGGAGGCTCTCTGAGTTGGGAATTGGTGGCCTGGCTCCGTTCCTTCTTGGAGGATCGTCCCCAAAGACTGCAGATTGGAGAGAGTTTCTTGGCCATGTGAAGTCCCAATTGCGGGGTGCCACAGGGCTCGATAATCTCTCCAATGCTGTTTAACATCTATATGAGGCCGCTGGGTGGGGGTCATTAGGGGATGTGGGGTTCGTGTCATCAGTATGCTGATGATACTCAGCTCTACATCTCCTTTTTAAAAATAACAGTGGATGCTGTTTCGTCCCTTGAACGCTGCCTGGAGGCTGTTCAGTAATGGATGCAGGAGAATGGACTGAGGCTGAACCCGGGCAAGACGGAGGTCCTTTGGGTGGGTGGCCCAGACATCAGTGGTTTGGGAAACTCCCTCTCTTTTTTTGGAGGGGGTGACTCTTACCACTAAGAGTGAGGTTCGCAGTTTGGGTGTACATCTGGACCCAGCACCCAACATAGAAACCCAGGTGGAATTAGTGGTCCGTTCCGCACACTTCCATCTTCAGCGGATTGCCCAGCTGCATCACTATCTTGATGTGGGGGCTCTCACCACCTTAGTCCATGTGCTCATAGTCTCGAGATTAGACTACTGTAATGTGCTCTATGTGGGGCTGCCTTTGAGA